TAGTCTCTGCCCTCCGCCCTTAGCCTCGGCCCTTGCCTCTCAGCCCTACTTAAGGCCCTCATAAGGCCCTTCTCTTCATTGTTAGTTTGACGGTTGAAAATTTTTCGCTCGCGCCGGCCGCCTTCGGCGTTGAAATGTTGATGGCGCATTCGTGAGGCCGAAAGGCATCACTGTGAACTCGTAACTGCCGTAGCGGGTTCGGAAGGCGGTCTTGTGACAGTCGTCAGCGAAGACCCTGATCTGGTGGTAACCGCCGCGTAGGTCAATCTTCGAGAAGTAGCGAGCGCCGCGAAGTTGGTCGAGGAGGTCGTCGGTGCGTGGGATGGGATAGCGAGATTTTATGGTAACCCGGTTGAGCGCGCGATAGTCGATGCACATGCGAATGTCGTTGTCCTTCTTCGGTGTGAACAGGATCGGCGCGGCGAAGGGTGAATTACTGGGTCAAATGAAGTCCTTCTCCAACAGTGACTCAAGTTGACTTCGAAGCTCCGCAAGTTCGGGCTGAGTCAGGCGCCACTGTGTACGAACAGTCAGTTGCGCGCCGTGCTCGAGGGTGATTCTGTGGTCTTCGGGTTGTTTGGTTGGTAGTCCAGGTGGCAGGTCATCCGGGAAAAGGTCGGGGTATTGTCGAATCAACTTCGCTAAATCAGGTGGTACAGCTGCGCACAGCTTCTCGATGTCGTTTCCGTCGGTGTCGGCTGCCAACTCGCGCAAGCATACGGCGAACAGTTGCGCACCCCTGTTGACGTGGCGTGTAATAGTGATGGCTTTGACGCATGTAGACTCGATGCAGTCCGGAGTCCACGCGGGCAGAGTAATCAGCTTCCCGTCCTTGCTGATGTTGCATGATCCCGTCGTCCAATCGATTATCGGGTTGTGCCGTCGCAGCCAATCGCGTCCCAGGAGCACGTCGCATCCGTCCAACGTCGTCGCGAGAAACTTCATGCTGAAGCCGAAATCGTCGCCGCACTCAATCCGCACCGTCCGTGTCTCCTCCATAATCGCCAGCAGCGTTCCATCCATGAGGCGAGCTTCAGTTTCAGGCAGACACCTGTCCAGCTGCAACTTGCATTTTTTTGTTGTCACCAGATTGAAGAGGCTATGGCTAGCCCCGCCATCGACGAACATTTTTTGTTTTTTTCTTAACAACCGTGCCAACAACCAGCACAGGGTGATCCACATGTTCATTCTCGTTATTCGTCCGAGTGCGATCGATTGCATGAATCGGAACCACGACTCGGTGGGGATGGTGGGGTTCGGGCGACAGAGCACAGTCAGTAAGGGGCCCGTCTGTTACTGACTCTTCCCATTTCCCGGCTCTTTCCGTTCTTCTTTCCCTGCGTCCTGTCGGGGCAGTCTTTATACATGTGCCCAGCTTCCCGCACTTAAAACACAACCCTGTAAAAGGGCGGTCTGGCGCATGGACTCCGTTAATCGTGGCCCGCTGGGTCTGTCCACGAAATCGGTTTCCCTCCCGAGAACTCGATCTCGCCCACTGCATCAGCGCGTCTGTGCTCTCGGCCAATCGGACGGCTTCGTTGAATGTTGCTGGACGGCTGCGGCGCACCTCGTACTGTATCTCATACTTCAAGCCGCTGATGTATTTATCCAACCGTTCAGCTTCCGCCATGTCGTCCACTTGGTCCGCGAGCGCCATAAACGACGCCGTGTAGTCTTGAACAGAAGCCAACTGCGACCAGGTACGCAGCTTCATGCGAGCGTGTTCCGAGGCGGATACATGCTCGAAACGCTCTCGTAAGGCTGCGCCCCATTGTTTCCATATGTGAATTGTGGCCACACCGAATATTGAGGATGCCCTCCCATTAGCAGAGTCCGAAGTCCCGTCTGCCGCATGTGTCACACCTGTCGGGGTCCCCGTGTCCAAGGTACGTCGCCACCACTCCAGTGCCGGGCCTTGCAGAAGTGATACAGCGTAATTAATACGCGCGGCGTCGTCGTCAACGTTTGCAGCAGTGAAGAAGACCTCCACGCCGAGCAGCCACCCCTTGACTGTAGTACCCTTGTCCGTAGGGTTGAACAGGGGCGGCCTCTGTTAAGGCGAAGCCCTGCACGCGCCTGGTTTTGCGTGTAGCAGCCCTATGCGGAGTAGCGAGACTTCGCATACCGCATACCGGTTTTACCTGAGTTGCGGTATTCGTCGAGTACACTCCAATAGTGCACTTCGGTATGCACTGTTCAACACTGAACCGAATTGGAGGGAAGTGACGACATTGCACAAACGAGTATGTGCAACTGTCTGTTGCAAGCACCCGCGCAACTACTCGTGGGCAGGTAGAAAATGCACCTGACGGTATTTTCACCTGATGGCATTTTCACCTAGCGGTGCCAACCTGGAAACTGCATGCTAGAGCCGGTGCTTGCACGTTCTCCTTTAACGAACGTTCTTCATGAACAACGTTCTCGTAGAACGTTCTCGCACATGTCACTATGCTTCTCTATAAGGTTCAGGTTGCTTCTGTTGTAATCAATCAATTAATGAATTTCTTTCCTTCAGTTACTGCATACCAAGTTTGGCATCAGTATTCAGTTTTCAACAATTCCGTATTCGGTTTACAAGCCTCCGCTTTGCAACTCTGCGCCTATGCTCTCCCAAAATCGCTTGTTCTCCGCAGGCTCGCGGGCTTGATCTTGACCGTCGTAACTGCAATTGCTATTGCCGGCGCTGTCCGCCTATCGCCTTCTTCGGTGCCTCGTGGGAGCTCGCCAGTTGCATTAGGGTCGCTCTCCACTTGACTGGTGGTTTCGCCATCTTCGACGGGCGACTCCTGGCGCGCTTCACCTCGCGCCTGGCGTAGCTCGTTGTTTTCTTCACGTAGTCTCTCCACTTCCATCGTTAACACCTTCATGCCTGCCGACATTTCTGCCACTTGCTGCATAAGTTTGTTGAACGCCTCCTGGTCCATGAGTCGCAAGCTACGTCTAATAGGCAACTGGGTATCCGTGACGATCCGGGAACAGTGCAAGCGCAAAAGCTATCGGAGTCGGGCAAGTTTAATTTAATAAACTTTGCAACCAACCGCTTTGCAGCCCACTGTGCCAGTCACACCCGTGCCTCTAAACTACCCTGGAAAAGCGGGGTGAACTAGGAAAGTAGCTCTGGTACCAGGTGTTAATGGGTTGTCAAACAGAGTTGCGCGGAATAACGAATAACGAGGCTGTGACTCAATGAACTGACGATACAATGAAAGGCATGCGATTATATAGCGAGGCAACCTAGCTAGGCGGGAACCTCGGGAACACGAGGTTGGGTGCAGGTTGGGCAAAGGAAAGCCGAAGGCGACACAAGGTTGCTTCGGCAGCAAGCAAAGTGGTCGAACGTGCACTTAGGGTTGTACGCAGTTGAGTAAACCCGAGGAAGGAAAAGGGTTTTTTCCTTACAATTGTGCCCGATAAAAGTTACCAATGACATATTTCCCCAACAAGCGCCACTCATTTTTGGGATGCTGTTGTGGTTCTCTGTTCTTGTGGACCCAGATACAGCACATCCTTATCCTAAACTGTAACCCCAGCATATGTTTTGTCAACGCGGAACCACAAGTTAGAAACTATTCAGGCCCACGCTGGAACCGAAGTGGCCCTCCCACCAGATGCGCCGCATTGTTGAGGCTCAATGGAAGCCCCCCAAAAAAGGTTTTGGCGTCCTGTGTGTCGTCGACGAGTCTAGGGGCCACTCGCCTATGGTATGACGATGATGGAGGGGGCTTCTACGCAGTGAAGCCAAGGCGAGTCTGTCAACGAGTGGACAGAATTGCTTGCGAGGCTTCTCAATAGTTTCCAGTCCTTGTTCATGTATCTGCAGCATAAAAGGCTGTACACAAATGCCCAAGTGTGGTCGCACGAAGTGATACCCTCTCAAGTACGCCATGTACACAAGATGCCCGTTAGGTCGCCACAACGTTTTTCGTCATTTAGGTGTTTAGTGAGCGAGATCCATTTTGCCTGCTCGCCAACTTTCGCCACGGGCAAAATCGGGACTGTAGTGAGCAGGTGTAACCAGCGTCTTTTTTTATCTCACGAACGGACGGATAAGCTGAATAACATGATGTTCAACGGCTGCGATAAAAATAGGGGCTTGCATCATGCGTGCAACTGGCTGGTACCAAATGCAATGGGCAGGCTGTCGAATTTAGCAAGACCAGTGTGCGTGCAACAGCTGAGCATCTTGTGTACATGGCAACCCCGGCGGCGGTGCGCGAAGCTACCGCCCATCGCTTAGCATTGCCGGCCTTCCGTCAGCGGCCCACCACCGAGGTGTTTTGGCAGAGCGGAACACCAGAGCGAGGGTCCGTTCGCTGCATTCATGGTGTTTTTTCTTGGCAGAACAGTCGTGCAGCTATTTGAGCGAGGACCCCTCGGATCGGATCAATTTCCTACGACACAGTCATTCATTTACGACTCCCTGTCAATCTGGGAACCTGTCAAGCGCTTCACCGTAGTAGCGCTTCTTCACGACTACGAAAGCCACAATTGAATAAGATCCGAATGCGGCCCTTCACCCGGAATGTTACAGCATAGGATTCGACACTTCTGTTTTCCAGTGTACCGCTGTCTTCAAAGTTTGCACAGGATTCGACGAGTTGTGGTAGAAGTTGCAAGGCTCACAGTTCAAAATATACGCGGCTAGCAGGGAAACCTGCGTGCCAGTGGTGCCCATCCACGTAGTAGCTTCCAGTTACTACTGCCACCAGCTGCTGCCATACTCAGCAGGCGCGCGACTCGGAGTCTTTCTTCAACTTGAAGCTCCGCCGAGTCTAGTAGCGGCAGCCGGTATTTTCCCCACTGCCAGTGCCGCGGTCTGTGCAATCATTGCGACTGCCAGTGCCGTTGTGACGCCAGCACTTGTGGTGCGCTGCCTTTGACACAGTGGCCCGAGCCAGCGTCAGTTTGAAAGCCGACGTTTGCTTTGAAAGCCGGCGACTACCTAGCGCGATCGTAACCAGCGGCGGCGGCGGCGTGTGGTGATGGCGGCGATGCCTCTTATGCTCCTCACGTCATGCCTCGCAGCCCTCTCTTTCGCCCGCACTGCCAGTGCCATGCCAGGGGGCTATGATGTCACCCTCGACCCCTCCCAAGGTACCACTACTACTAGTAGTAGTACCACCACCTCTCCTCGTCTCTTGTCTCTCCAACCCTGACGTCATGAGGCTTCGTTTCTCAGTTTTTGTCCTCCGTTCTGCGCGGTTTCGTTCTTTATTTGAATGAGACGAGGTAAGACGCGCCGTGCTGACGTCCCAAAGTATCCCCTCCATGTGTGTGTGTGTGTGTGTGTGTGTGTGTGTGTGTGTGTGTGTGTGTGTGTGTGTGTGTGTGTGCGTGCGTGCGTGCGTGCGTGCGTGCGTGCGTGCGTGCGTGCGTGCGTGCGTGCGTGCGTGCGTGCGTGCGTGCGTGCGTGCGTGCGTGCGTGCGTGCGTGCGTGCGTGCGTGCGTGCGTGTGTGTGTGTTTTGTTTGTTTGTTTTATTTTTTTTCCCTCTGCTTGTGCACTTGATGCGAACACCAACATCAAGCTGAGACATGCGATTGACTGACATCCTTCCCTCGTCTCGTCTGTTAGTACACCTTAACACTGCACTGAATGACTGTTACACCCCGTCTCCTCACCCCGTACAGTCCCAGCGCTGCAGGACTGCATGGCGTCATGGGGCGTGACAATGCCATGGGGTCTAGACGACCAGTGTCCGGTAGCAATCGTCGACCCAATCAACGACGAGTGGTGGCCCAAGCCCAGAGGCATTATGTGTGATGTCAATGGCATGGTCTCCGTAATGTGAGTGTGCTGGATCACAACAACTTCTGAGGGCGCCTCCGTAACCGTCTCTACACCACTTTCTCGTTGACTCTATTATGCAAACCTCATGCTCGTTGTACTGTGAGTGAGTGACGGGCAATGCTAGGTAAGTGCGTGCCAGTGCGGAAGTAGCAGGCAGAGCAGGGTACCGCAACATCCCCTTCCCTCTCCCCTCTCCCTCCCCTTCCTCCCCCCCACCCCCCCCACCCCCCCCACGCCCAGCCACCTTTTGTTTGTCATTTTCTGTCCTGCTATATTCTTCTGCCTTCCGTCACCATCCGTGACAGGAGCATGCCAAACGAGAAACTCAACGGGTCCCTACCTGCATCGCTAGGCTCCCTCGTTCAGTTGCAGTACCTGTGCGTGCGCTTTGACCTCCTCTGCTACTCGCTCCTGTTTCATTCCGTTCTGTTGAGATGGGGCACCCTGGCGGGGGGAGCAGGACGGAAGCGGGGGGGGGGGGATGGGGGGGGAGAGGGATGGTTGAGGCGCCTCGAGAGTTGCTTGGTTCCGTCCTTGAGTTGGCGTTTGCGGTTTGAGAGTTACACTGTCCAGTGCCCACACATACCTGTCGGTTCTGTTGAGATAGGGTAGTAGGGTACAGGGCCTGTCACACGGGTCCTGGGTGAATGGCGAAAGGCAATTGCCCTTCCCTGGAGGGGCTGTGCAGGCGGGAGCACACCCAACCCTACCCCTACCCCTAGCACATCCTTTTACAGGCCCTGTTGCTGCTGGCTAGTTGGCTTGACACGCTGTTTGCTTTTGCTTGCTGCAAGATGGGCTTTTCTTTGCTACAACACGCGGGCTCTCAGTTCTGCATGGTGTTTTGTTCTCAGCCAGCTAGCTACTAGCTGCCATCCCATCCCCATGTGCCAGCTAGCCATCACCATAAGCTAGCCACCGCTGCATGCCAGCCAGCTACTGTTGTGCCATGATCCACGGGCATCACCTTGCATGCGCCCCCTCTGTACCCTTCTGCCCCTCTCTGCTCCCCTCTGCCCCCTCTATCCCCCTCTACCGCCCACTGTCCTGTCCCATTCTCCTCTTCCCCCCAACCCCCCTTCCCCCTCCCTCCTTCCCCAACCCACCCGTCCCCCCCACCCCCCCCCCCCCCCCCCCCCCCCCCCCTCCTTTCCACTTTCTACTGCACCACGCGCAGGCAGTTGAATGGCAACTTATTCACGGGATCCATTCCAAGCACCTTTGGGCAGTTCGGGAATCTTCTCTACATGTCAGTGCCCACCAACCCACCCATCCACCCATCCACCCATCCACCCATCCACCCATCCACCCATCCACCCATCCACCCATCCACCCATCCACCCATCCACCCATCCACCCATCCACCCATCCACCCATCCACCCATCCACCCATCCACCCATCCACCCATCCACCCATCCACCCATCCACCCATCCACCCATCCACCCATCCACCCATCCACCCATCCACCCATCCACCCATCCACCCATCCACCCGCACCAAGCAACCAACCTCTCGTTGCTCAATTTCACTGTTTGCTTCTGTTCGCCAGCACCACCACCACCACCACCAGTGTTACCCGGAAACACTACCTTGCGTCATGATGTGATGTGATGTGATGCGCTTCATAACAGGAAAGGCTTGACTGGGCCTTCTTCCGTCCATTCCCGTTCTGTGCCAACCAGTTCTGTCCAAGGCAAACAGGCTCACACCCGTGCCTGCCTGACTCGGTGGCTTTCTAGTCGACTCAACTCAATAGCCTTGACGGCTTCCTTCCCTCTATTCCCATTTCTTGGGTAACCAGGTTACTCCAAGACAACAAGCTCACATCCATCCCTGACTCTCTAGGCGATCTCGCCAACCTGATGATTCTGTGAGTTCTCTGTTACTGCTACACCTACCAGTGTTTTCACTCGCCTGCTGCCACACCTGACATTGTTTTCTTTCTCCTGCTGCTGCTGCTGCTGCTGCTGTGTAGATATCCATGTGGGTACATCCGTGATCCATGCGCTATCCTCAACTGGTCTTGTTTCCTTGGGATTCCAACCCTGACTCGTTTCCTCTACTGCCCGCTCCCTTGTTTTGTCGCAATCCCTATCGGTACCTGTGGCAGGAATTTGGCGGGAAACGAAATCGCCGGCACTGTGTCAGAATCACTTAGGAATCTGGCGATGCTAAAAGAACTGTACGTACATGTCTGAGTTGAAGCATCTCTAGCTGACCCCTCCCCTCACCTCTCTCAGAAATTGAGACCCCTCAAAGACAGACTATACATTGGTGGAAAATCATCATTCTTGGTTTCTATGCCTACTGCCTTCGCCTTCTGAGTCACCTCAGAGAGCGTTACGAAGGTAGCCTGTACGTAGGCTAAAGTACATCACTCATTGTGGCTATGCTATGCCTGACCTCGCGTTTTTACTCGAGTTGTCTGTGGCTGGCACTTGGCTTTCTTTCTCCTCCCTGTCGTCTCTTCCCTCTCCCCTCTTCAAATCGCACCGCTACGTGCACACTTGTGTATCCAGCCACACACACACACACACGCACACACACACACACACACACACACACGCACACACACACACACACACACACACACACACACACACACACACACACAACCACGCACGCACACACACACCCACGCTGCCACGCATGTGCAACCACGCACACCAGCGCACGCACACGCGTCACACCCCACCCAGGCATGTGCAACCACGCACACGCACACCCACCCACATGCACACACATCCACGCACACCCACCCACACACACCCACACCACACCCATTCAAAGCGACGTGCAAGAAAAGAAAGTTTCCATGCCCATGGCCCAAACCATCCCATCATGTGCAATCTTCTATGCCCCATGCCCCATCCGCACCACGCCAGGTCCCTGAGCTCAAACCAGCTCTATGGAACTCTCCCTGCGAGCCTCTCAACAATGGTCAGGCTCACCTTGCTGTGAGTCACTCTCCCTCCAGAGCAGTGCAGGCATCATAGGCTGTTGCTGAGCATGAGCTCGTTCGTTGGTCAGCATTTTGACTTGGAGGTGCTCATTACATACAGACTCTACAGCAGCAGAGGAGATTGCCGTTGAGACTGCTCTGCTGCTGCTGCTGCTCTGCGTGCACAGTACAGTACGGCGGTTCTCCTTTCCCGTTTGCTGCTGCGGCACTGCCCAGTCCTCCTGCCCCTGCTTCGTCTTTCTGCCCTGTACTGCACTGAATGCGGGAACTCCACTCACCACCCCAGTGTTTTCCTGCATTCTATGCAATCTGCTGCTTCGCCCCACTGCCTCACGTATCATTCCGCTCGCTTCTTTTTCGCCCCCCACTGCCCCTCCCCCCCTTCCCTCTCAGCGACGTCTCGAGCAACTATCTCACAGGGCCCATTGTAGATCGCACAAACTTCGACCCTGCCGCGATGTTCGACTACTCAAACAACTACATGACAGGAGATCTACAGCAAGCCGAGTGCGGTTCACAAAACTTGCAACTCGGCGCCAACTGCTTCTCCCCTGCAACACTCCCATGTGCCACACAGCGGCCAGATGCAGTGTGCGAGGCGTTCTGCGGGCTGGATAAGAGCAACCCCACCACGTCGATCTGTTCCGACCTGGGGCTCTGCTATGTGGAAGGGCCCAGTCAGGCTCCCTTGTGCCTGTGCCAGAATGGAGCTGTGCTAGATGGGAGGATCTTCTGTGCCCCTCCGGGTATGTGCAGTAGGAGCAATACGAGCTAATCAGCAGCAGTAACAAGTAGCTGGAAACGTTTCAGCAGGGGCAGCAGGATTAGTAGCAGCAGTAGCAGCAGTAGCAGCAGTAGCAGCAGTAGCAGCAAACGCAGACTATCACACCTTGTACTTCCACTCGCTTTTTGCATGTCCGCGTTCCCCTCTTGTTTCGTCCGTTTCTTCCTTCCTCTCCTTTCCCCTCCTGCCCTTTCCTCCCCTCCTCTCCCCTCCTCTCCTCTCCTCTCCTCTCCTCTCCTCTCCTCTCCTCTCCTTCCTCTCCTCCACCACCTCTCTTCTCCTTCCCTCCACGTTCCATATC